CAGGAATGCATAAAACCTAATGCAGAAACACTGGGAACATTCATTTTAAAGCAATGAATGAAAAAAGACACCTACTAATTGCTACTGTTTACTATTATCATGTCTAATTAGTATATCTGATAAAAAAATTAGAGGTATCAAAAAATCAAAGGAAGAGATAAATCTATCACTGTAGATAAAATGATCATAAGCTAGAAATCCCAAGAAAATAACTTGAATTCAACAAGGCAGAGAGATAAAAAGTTAGCACATGGAAATCAAAAGCCTTCATGTATATAAGCAATAACCAGTTAGAACATACAAACCTATTTAATAGCAACAAAAAGGAGAATAATTCCAGGAACAACATAAAACATGCAAAGTTTATGTGAAGAAAACTTAAAAACTCCTTAAGGAAACAAAAGTAATCTTGAACAAGCAGTATATGTTCTTGGACAGAAAGACTCAATACCTTAAATACAATCCTTTTTTCTAACTTAATTTTAAATGTAATGAGTTTTCAATAACAATAACAACCTGTTCTCTCCTACTCACCTGATCTAGACAAGGGGTTTCAAAAGTACAATAAGGTACAGTAAGAGTTGCCTTGAAAATCTTGAAAAGAAAAAATGGGACTAGCCCTATTAGATATTAAAAGTCACAAAAGAAATCAGCAACTAATACATACATGTATGTGCGCACAGCAACACACAAACTTCTGCATGGAAAAATAAAAAATAAACAAACTAAAACTCCACTATGCCAAAGGTCAAAAGACAAACAACCCACATAACAGACAAATTTAGGGGCCAGCATTGTGGTGCAGTGGGTTAAGCCCCTGCCTGTGAGGTCAGCTGGAATGCTGGCTGGAACACCAGCTGCTCAGTTCCCAGTTAATGCACCGAGGAAGGCAGCAGAAAATAGCCCAGACACTTGGGCCCCTGCCACCCATGTGGGAAACCTGGATGGAGTACTGGCCTGCTAGTTCAGCCCTGGCTGTTGTGACCATTTGGGGAGTGAATCAGCAGATGGAAGATCTGTCTCTTTGACTCTTCCTTTCTCTCTGTCATTCTGCCTTTTAAATGAACAAAATGAATCTTGGGAAAAAGAAAAGAGAAAGAAAGCACTCCTAGTAAATGAGATAAAATATACAACAAGAAGAAAAGTAAAAATGTAAACCAACAGTTCATTTAAAAACACAAGTGGCCCTTACATATGGGAAACATCTGTCAAATGTACATTGAAAGAATGGGGTCGGTGCTGTGGCGCAGCATCCCATATGGGTGCCGGTTCAAGTCCCAGCTGCTCCACTTCTGATCCAGCTCTCTACTATGGCCTGGGAAAGCAGAAGATGGCCCAAGTCCTTGGACCCCTGCACCTACATGGGAGACCTGAAAGAAGCTCCCGGCTCCTGGCTTTGGATCAGCGCAGCTCTAGCCATTGCACCCAACTGGGGAGTGAATCAGTGGGTGGAAGACCTCTCTCTGCCTCTCCTCCTCTCTCTGTGTAACTCTGACTTTCAAGTAAAATAAATAAATATTTTTTTTTTTTAAAAAGGAAAGTACATAACAGGGATGGTCATTTAGCATAGTGTTTAAGATACTGGTTAAGATACCTGTGTCTCAAATAGGAGTATCTGGGTTCAATACACAGTTATGGATCCTGACTGAAGTTTCTTGCTAATGCAGAACCTGGGAGGCAGCAGGTGATAGCTCAAGTACTTGATAGACCTGGATCAATTTTTTTTTAAAATAAAATATATATGCAAACTACTAAATCGAAGAGTTTGAATCTCTAGTGGCTAAGATACAAGGAAAGAGGTTCTTTCACTCATTAATGTAAAATGTTTACAACCTCTATGAAGTTCAATCAGGCAAAAATGATCAAAGTTGCAAACACAGTGGAAGGCATTTGGCCTACTGGTTAAGACGCCAGTATACCCACTTGGGACAACTGTATCCCATCACAGGAGTGTTTGAGTTCAAGTCCAGCTCTGTTTTTTTTTTTTTTTAAACAATTATTTATTTATTTGAAAGGCAGAGTTTACAGAGAGAGAGGCAGAGACAGCTGGAACTGGGTCCATCTGGAGCCAGCAGCTTCTTTTGGGTCTCCCATGTGGGTTTAAGGGCCCAGGCACTTGGGCCATCCTCTGCTAATTTCCCAGGCACATTAGCTGGGAGTTGATCAGAAGTGGAGCAGCAGCCTCTATCAGATACACCAAAACGTCGGCCCCTCCAGCTAAATTCTTGCCTCCAGCTTCCTGCTAATGAACTCCCTAAAAAGCAGCAGAACTTGAGTCCCTATCACCCACATGGGAGACCTGGAATGAATTCCTGCTTCTGGAATTTGGCCTGGCACAGCCCTGGCCATTGGCGGCATCTGGGAAGTGAACGAGCATATGGAGGATTTCTTTGTCTCTCTCTGCCTCTCAAATTTAAAAACAAACAAACAAAAACTGTTACAATTACCCTTGAGCCATTAATCTCACTTCTAGGATTTATCTTACAGATGCACATATATCTAAATATATTGAAATGATGTTCTGATATGATGAATCATAAAATAGTCCTAGTATATGTATCAGGGAACTGGAAAATACTCCCTCCTTGGGGTGAACATTTGGTATAGTGATTGATACCCATTTCCCATACTGGAATGCCTGGGTTTGATACCCAGCTCCGGCTCCTGACTCCAGCTTCCCACCAATGCAGATCCTGAGAGGCAGTGGTGATGGCTCAAATGATGAGGTTCCTGCTCCCCATGTGAGAGACCTACACTGAGTCCCCAGCTCCAAGCTTCAGCAAATCATTTGGGAAAGTGAAAACTGTGGATGGGTTCTCTCACATTAAAAAACAAAAATTAAAAAAAAAAGTTTTTTGAAAGTACGTATTTCCCCCTCAATCATATTTCCACAATGGCAGATACAACTGAACACAATGAGGATATTATGTACTGATGTGGAAAGATCCAGGAATCCTTGAAAGAATGGCTAATTAAAAGTGCCAGGCTGGAAACATCAGACAAGTCTAGAATATCTTGCTGTGCCAGAAAGCAAGAAACTATGAAACATTAATAAACTGAAAAATTACCCATTGGTAATTCCTACTGAAGTGAATTATTTGGATAACAATGATCAGTGAATACAACATCAGTAATTAAAAGTGGGAACTTTGGGGCCAGCACTGTGGCTCAGTGGGTTAACGCCCTGGCCTGAAGCGCCATATGGGCGCCAGTTTGAGACCTGGCTGCTCCACTTCCTGTCCAGCTCTCTGTTATGGCCTGGGAAAGCAGTAGAAAATGGCCCAAGTCCTTGAGCCCTTGCACCCACATGGGAGACCCGGAAGAAACTCCTGGCTCCTGGCTTTGGATTTGCACAGCTCTGGCTGTTGCGGCCATTTGGGGAGTGAACCATCGGATGGAAGACGTCTCTCTCTCTCTCTGCCTCTCCTCTCTCTGTGTAACTCTTTCAAATAAATAAATAAATCTTAAAAAAAAAAAAAAAAGTGGGAACTTCACAAAGAGGGATTCCTATATCTAGTGATTAATTTCTGGACCTATAGATTCATCTTAGCCTCACTAAAATTAGGATCGCAAGATACTGTATGCCTCCTAAAGTGAAATAATATAAAACACTTAAGAAGTATTTTGAACCAAAAGTGAATCAAACTTCTAAGGTCAATTTTTGTTTTCTAAGGAAATACAGGGGATAGAGGCAAGATAATGACACAGGAAAACAGACAAATTCAGATTTGAGGATATCCTACAGGTGGAGTGACTATAAGCTTCTGTTATGAGTCAAAAGCATAAAAAAGGAAAAAAGAAAATGACAGACAGAAGAAAACAGAATGATTAGGTTTAAAAGGCATAATAACCAAATGTGATACTTGAACCTGATTTGGATTCTAGTTAGAATCAACCAACCAGAAAAAGACATACTTGAGACAAACAGGGAAATCTGACTATAAAGAGGATATTAGAGGGTAAAAATAAATAATTGTTTTTAATTTTCTTATATATGAAAATGACACTGCTGTGTAAGAGAACACCCATATTCTTAGTGGTGGACAGAGAAACAGTGGGAACAAAATAACATGCTGTCTGGGACTGATTTTCAAATACCACAATAGAGGAAAAAATGTAGATAAGTTAAGTAATGGTGGAAAAATTCTGGCAACTTGAATAACAGCTACATATATAGTGGTTCCATCATACTATTTTATTTTTTTATAAACTTGAAAATATTTGTAAGAAAACACCTAAAACTGAATACAACTGGCACATTATGCACTAGCACCAGGCACAAATGCCTGATGTCAGGCCACCATGACCAAAAAACTCTTTTTTTTTTAGATTTATTTATTTATTTATTTGACTGGTAGAATTATAGACAGAGAGAGACAGAGAGACAGAGAGAAAGGTCTTCCTTCCATTGGTTCACCCTCCAAATGGCTGCTACGGCCGGTGTGCCGCACTGATCCGAAGCCAGGAGCCAGGTGCTTCCTCCTGGTCTCCCATGCAGGTGCGGGGCCCAAGCACCTGGGCCATCCTCCACTGCCCTCCTGGGCCACAGCAGCGAGCTGGACTGGAAGAGGAGCAACCAGGACTAAAACCCAGTGCCCATAAGGGATGCCGGCACCGCAGGCAGAGGATTAACCAAGTGAGCCACGGCGCCGGGCCCAAAACTCTTTCTTTTAAAATACCCATTTCCAGTGAAACGTTGACTTAGAGTTAAAAGGACAAAGGTGAGTTAAAATACAACATTGCTCAGATGATCATGTTAGGGCTTTTAAATTTGTTTGCATGTACTTATTTCATGTTTAGTAGCATTCCAAAACAAGTTCTTTGTAGAAGCTTTCTAAATGCAATGTAATAAAAGTATAAAGGTTTTTCTTGTTGTCATATCCAAATATTATGTCAAGTCACCAGTACATGCCATTATGTATAAAGTTTACACACACACACACTCATGGGCCATATAGGAACCAACTGCCCAATATGGAATATGGCTTCAGTTCTCTTACCATCGATATTCAGCATCATTTTCCACATGGCAGGCCGAACAGACTGATGGAATCCAAACCATACTTCCCTGCCCCCTCCTAGAGGGTGGTCATATCCTTCTGGAGCTGAGAAAAAGGAGCGTCCCACAGGTGTATATCTAGAAAAATTAAAAAGGCATGTTCAATTCTTTCCAATACAAGTATACAAATCTGAATGAAATACAGCAGAGACTAAAGCGCAGACAACTAATTTATCATAATGAAGCTTATCATTATAAATATATAAACCTAAACATTTTCCAAACTCATAAAAGCAAAAAGTAGCCATTCTAAATGAAAACATCCATTAGCATCCTCACTGATATTCTCAATGTTAGTTTGCATAATAATTTAAAAATACATTGTGAAAAATAGCTTAAAAATTAACATTCCAATTTTAAAAATGCTCAAGAGTAAATAATTATTGATCAGAAATCCATTTCTATAAATGTGTTCGTAAGACATACTATTTTTCTTTAAAAAAACATAATAGTCTGGTATATGTGTATGTGTATATGCATGTACACACATACATATGTGAGGTGACAGTGTGGTTAAAAGAGTAGCAATTTCAAAACAATTTGAAGCTATTATACTGACAGTAAAATTTCTTTTAAAAAGCAAGGAGAGGGGTTGGCACTGTGACATAGTAGGCTAAACCTCTGTCTGGGATGCCGGCATCCTAAATGGACACTGGTTCAATCTAGCTCTCTGCTATGGCCTGGGAAAGCAGTAGAAGATGGCCCAAGTGCTTGGGCCCCTGCACCCATGTGGGAGACTTGAAGAAGCTCTTGGATCCTGGCTTTGGACTGGCTCAACTTCAGCTGTTGTGGCCATTTAGGGAATGAACTAGCGGATGGAAGACCTTTCTCTTTGTCTCTCCTTTTTCTGTCTGTAACTCTACCTAACAAATAAATAAGTAAAATCTTAAAAGAAAGCAAAATGATTTAACTATAGAAAGTATCTAAAAATGTATCAGTCACTCAAGGTTTATAGCCACTAAGAGAAAGGGTCAGGCATTTTTCTGTGAATGCATTAATTAGAATAATTTAGCTAATTATGTTCATTTATTTGCAAATTTCAGATAATTTTTCTGTAACTTAATTCTCTCAATGAATTTATATATGCATGCTATTCCTGTTCAACTGAAATAATCAAAAGATACAAGATATGAAAGTTAACCAAGGGAGGCCTGCACAACTTATTCTTAGAAGGAAAATCTTCATATTTAAAATGCAAAGAGGAATAAAAGCCAGAAGCACCCACTTCATGGAGGGCAGATGACGTAGCACCACATCAACGGCATGGACAGGGTTAGTGCTGATTGGCTTGTCTAATTCCAGTGGCTCAGGCAAGGTCCGTCCTGTCAGTACTTCATGCAGTAGGTGCCAACTCACCCGAGAAACAAATTTGATTGACACTTTGAAAGGTCGATCTTTTCCACCTTCCCCAGGTAATGTGACATCTAAATCTACCTGTTGATAGGAAAAGACTCAATTGGCAAATGTTGAAAAAGATAAATACAATTTAAAGTTTAACTTATAAAGAGATCAAAGATCTAAGAAAAAGTAAGACAAAAATAAAAAAATCAACCTCAATGTCAATCAATTACAATAATTCAGATAACAGAGTTATTCCTGTCAGCATAATCTGTCATTTAAAAATACTGGAAGCTACCCAGACACTCTAACACTTAGGTAGCTATAACAAAAGGAATGGGGGTGGGTGTTTGTTTGGGGTGCTGCTTGGGATGTCTGCATCCCATATTGGAGTGCTTTGGTTCAAGTCTCAACTGTACTTCTGACTCCAGCTTCCTGCTAATGCATACCCTGAAAGGCAGCAGATAACAGCTCAAGTATTTGCATCTCTGCCACCCACGTGGGAGACGTGGATTGAGTTTCAGATTCCTGGCTTCCACATGGCCCAGCATCGGTTGTTGCAGGCAATCAGGCAGTGAAGGCCTCTCTGTCTGTCTCTGTCTCTCTCTGCCTTTCAAATAAAATGAAAATAACAAACAAAAAATTTTTAAAAGGAATGAGAAATCTCTTGCAACTGATATGAAATAATTTCTAAACTATATTGTTAAATGCAAAATGCAGCAGTACAAAAGATTACAAATAGTACAGCATCTTTTGTGAAAGAAAGGAAAATGAGTAAATATTCATTTATTTACTTATTTTTACAAAAAGAAACAGTAGGTATGAACTGTACAAAAGAAAATTGGTTACTTTCTTTTTTTTTTTTTTTCTTAAAGATTTCATTCATTTATTTGACAAGTAGAATCACAAACAGTGAGAGAGACAGAGAAAGGTCTTCCTTCCACTGGTTCACTCCCCAATGGCTGCAACGGCCAGAGCTGCGCCAATCCGAAGCCAGAAGCCTGGAGCTTCTTCCAGGTCTCCCATGTGGGTGCAGGGGCCCAATCACTTGGGCCATCTTCTACTGCTATCTCAGGACATAGCAGAGAGCTGGACTGGAAGAGGAGCAACCTGGGACTAGAACAGGCACCCATATGGGATGCTGGCGCCACAGGCGGATTAACCCAGTGCCCCACAGCGCCGGCCCCAGGAAATTGGTTACTTTCAAAGGATGGGAAAGAATGGAATGGAAGAAAAAAGGGAGAACAATACTGAGTATATTTTTGGGTACAGTTAGGAAGCACAGTGAAGTTCTATATATTTAAATTTTTTTAAAAATCAACAAGGATGGAAGGAAAAAAATTAAAAGTGAATGTAGACATATTCAAATGAACCCAAATGTACTTCAAATGAATAACATAACTAGAATAAAAGAAATCACTAATGCAAGAAATTCTTTAATATAGTGTATTTCCTATACCCTCAATTTAGGGGATGGAAATGAAGAAAAGGTAGGTTTAGAAGAACTGCATTAAAATAAAACCTCAAATTCTCATTAGATCTGTTTCATGCCGTGGTATAAGATAATTCAGAAACTATCTTGTTTGAGCATATTTCAAAAAGTTCATGAAAACTGAATTAAAAGGTATGTTTATATGGGTGCAAAAATTCTGAAATTCATGCATAGTTTTTTTCACAATACATATTTTCCATGAATTTTTTGAAGACCTTTCATATGAACTGCAGGACTGAGCAAATGAGAAAAGTGAATGTTCTGAGGCACCAGGGGACTAACTAAAGAATAAGGAAGACAGAAACCTGGAATGGGGTTAGAAAGGAAGAATCCTGGGAAAACAGAACTGGAAGAATCAGTGTGAACTCATGTTTCCAATAAACATATATAAAACTTACTATACAAAGTATATTTACTGTTTAATGTTCTATTTTATTTACTTATTGGTCTATTTATTTATATTTCCTGCTTCTGTGTATGGAGAGGGCTTACAAGTACATATAGTCTGGCAACATCAAGCATACCTGGTTTCAAAATTGCATTCTCCAACTAAAATAAATCAAGGCTCCTCTGAGAAACAGTCATTGAAGGGTTACAGCAGGGAAAACATAAGATGAACCTGGCACATTTTATTTTGCCATAAAGTAACGAAGTATTTGTGGAAAAGTGTTAAGGGGCCGATGCTGTGGTAAAGCAGGTTAAAGCTCCAGCCTGCAGTGCCAGCATCCTTTATGGACACCAGTTCAATTTCCGGCTGCTCCACTTCTTCTTCTCTCTCTTTTTTTTTTTTTTTTTTTTTTTTTTTTTTGACAGGCAGAGTGGACAGTGAGAGAGAGAGAGACAGAGAGAAAGGTCTTCCTTTTGCCGTTGGTTCACTCTCCAATGGCTGCCGCGGCCGGTGCGCTGTAGCCGGCGCACCGTGCTGATCCGATGGCAGGAGCCAGGTACTTATCCTGGTCTCCCATGGGGTGCAGGGCCCAAGCACTTGGGCCATCCTCCACTGCCTTCCCGGGCCACAGCAGAGAGCTGGCCTGGAAGAGGGGCAACCGGGACAGAATCCAGCACCCCGACCGGGTGTGCCGGCGCAGCTAGGCGGAGGATTAGCCTAGTGAGCCGTGGCGCCGGCCTCCGGCTACTGCACTTCTAATGCAGCTCTGTTATGGCCTGGAAAACCAGTACAACATGTTCCAAGTGCTTGGACCCCTGCACCAGCATGGGAGACCCGGAAGAAGCTCTTGGCTCCTGGCTTTGGATTGGCACAGCAGCCACGTAGGGAGTGAACCAGCAGATGGAAGATTCTCTCTCTCTGCCTCTCTGCCTTTCAAATAAAAATAAATGTTTTAAAAAAAAAGTAATTCTGGGACTGATGTCATGGCACAGTCGGTTAAGCCACCTTCCATGATGCCAGCATCCCATATGAATGCTGGTTCAATTGCTGGTTGCTTCACTTTTGAATGAAGCTGGTTGCTTCACTACTAATGAGCCTGCGAAAGCATCAGAAGATGGCCCAAGTACTTGGGCCCCTGCCATCCACGAGAGACCTGCCATTGTGGCTATCTGGGGAGTGACCAGCAAATGGAAGATCTCTCTCTCTGTCTCTTCCCCTCTCTGTTAACTCTGCCTTTCAAACAAATAAGTAAACCTTTTAAAAAATTACATTAACATTAAAGGGACATGATGTGTGCCAACTATTCATGAATAGTTCAGGAAAAAAAAAGTATGTATGTGTCTCTATATAGCTATATCTACAGGTAGAAGGAACAAAGAGAGAGAGAAAGAAAAAGTGATACAATAAATATGGCAAATGTTAAGAATGTTGGTGATTCTACCCAAAGGGAAAATGAGAATTCTCTGCATGATTCTTGCAGTCTTCTTGTTAAGTGTGAAAAGTTTATGGAAATGTTATTATAAAAAACTATGCATGGTTTTCAAATTTTTGTACCAAAATAAACATCTTTTAATTCTATTTTTCCACAAAAGCTTTGAAGAATCCTATTTTACACACATACACAAGTATTCTAATTTTTTAATTATATACAGAACATATTTCATGTGTTTCATAACACGTATTATAGTTTAAAATTATAATAAATAAATTAATTTAAAAGAAGACAATGCAAAAATATAAAGGAATGTGTATCTTACCCCAGTGGTTGCCACAGGAAGTGGATTGGCTGTATAAAGGCTTCTTTTTCCATCATAAACTGGTCTACGGTCTCCAAATATAGTTACTTTAAAATGCTGAACCATTGAGTCAACCACCTCCCTAAGAAGGGGGGAAAAATCACTTAATCCTCTGCAAAATGGAATACCAAAATGCTAACTGAAGTAATTTCTAGCATTGCTTAAAGCTGTCAAAAATCTAAGATATTCATTCATACATGATGAAGATTTTGCTTTCAGAATTATGGCATAGGTTACCAAAAATATTGATTACTATCCAGGATGACAGGCATTTCACCAAAGAGAAGAATAAACCCAGGACACAGCTGTCCTGGAAAATGCTCGTATTCTCCTTAGAAACTGACTTAAAATTCCATTCACTTATCTCTAAAAACTCCTTAACATATTTACCTCTCTTTCTCAAAGAGATACTCTTTCCACTTTACTAAAATAGCACCTAGTACCTATCTCCATTAGAAACTTAGTCTAGGGGCCGGTGCTGTGGTGTAGTGGATTAAAGCTCCAGCCTGCAGCGCCGGCATCCCATATGGGCGCCAGTTCAAGACCCCGCTGCTCCTCTTCTGATCCAGCTCTCTGCTATGGCCTGGGAAAGCAGTGGAAGATGGCCCAAGTTCTTGGGCCCTTGCACAGCAGATGGAAGACCTCTCTCTCTCTCTGGCTCTACCTCTCTCTGTAACTCTTTCAAATAATTCTTTAAAAAAAAAACAAAAGAAACTTAGTCTAGTAAATTATAATTATATATACTTCCTTTCTCTGAACAGTGAGCTTTGTGAGAGCAACAAACACACCAGAATCCCTTGTATTTCTCCATCCTTACCACAGTATCTAGCCAGTAAGGATATTTATGAACCTTCCATTTTTACCCAGCAAACATTTTGATCCCATATACTGACATGGAAAGACAGTCAAGACTTACAAATTCTTTTGAAATTACAGACTTAATATGGAGAATGATACCAAATTCCCTTAAATCATATTTGAAAAAACTATAAAATAGGATATCTGGAAAGATATGTGCCAGAGAGGAAATTGATGAGGTGATAGGGTGACTTTTGTTTATTCAATCTAAATATATTACAATGAGAGTAAACTCACTAGAATAATTTAAAATAAATTTAAGGCATTCAAATCAAGCCCAACCATTTGAGGAGGAGTAGGCAGTAAAAGAAACCAGCAATTTCTGATGGGAGTAAATAGGGAGTAGGGGGAGGTAACAAGTCATACTAAGAGTAATTCTTTCTACATGACACAAAGTTTCTATGTTTCCCTTCTTTTTAATTTTGCTTTGCTGAAACTATTAATTCAATATCAAGTCTTTCTACAGTACATTAAAGAATAAAGATTTGATTCTCCTTCACTTTTTCGTTTTAATACAAATTTCAATGATTTTCTTCCATTTTAAAGTTTTCTTTTGAGGCCATTACTAATAAATCCAGTTTCTCAAGTGAAATTTAACTGATATAATTAGCATATTTTGACTACTGTGTCATTTCTTTTCTTTGTAAAAGATTTTTTTTTTTTAGATTTTTATTTATTTACTTGAGAGGCAGAGTTAACAGAGAGAAGAAGAGACAGAGAGAGGTCTTCCATCTGCTGGTTCACTCCCCAAATGGCCACAATGGCCAGTGCTGGGCCAATCTGAAGCCAGGAGCCAGGAGCTTCTTCTAGTTCTCCCATATGGGTGCAGGGGCCCAAGCACTTGGGCCATCTTTTACTGCTTTCTCAGGCAATAGTGGAGAGCTGGATGGAAGAAGAGCAGCCAGGACTAGAACCAGTGCCCATATGGGATGCTGGCATTGCAAACAAAGGATTAATCTACTGTGCCACAGTGCCAGCCCCTATTTATATATGTGAGAGTCAGAGTTACAGAGAGAGAGAGCTCTTCCATCCATTGACTCACTAACCAAGGTTACAATGGCCAGGGCTGAGTCAGGCTGAAGCCAGGAGCCAGGAGCTTCTTCTGGGTCTCCCACATGGGTAAGGGGGCCCAAGCACCTGGGCCATCCTCCGCTGTTTTCCCAAGTGCATCAGCAGTGAGCTGGATCAGAAGTGGAACACCCGTATTGGATGCTGGCACTGCAGGCGGCAGCTTTACCAGGCACGCCACAGCGTTAGCCCCTTGCTGCAGTATTTTTTCCCACTAGTTTTCATTCCCAATTACCATCATTTTCAATTAAGACCTCATGTCCTAGTACCTACATTTTCTTAACTTTCTTATTTTTTATGTTCTCTAGTTTTTTTCCTTCTCCAACCAATTTACACACCATTGTCAATGAGTCTACAAATTTCACTTTTATTCCTCAAGCACAAAAGCTTGAGTTCATCAAACTCCTCAGTTCATGACATACAACATTATCTCTATATGACCCCTCAGGTAACTGACTGCTTTCCTTCCATCCATCTCCTATCCTCATTTCCTTTCCCAACAAGTTGTTCCCTGCAATGTGTTTGGTGAATAGCATGCTGTTTATATTCCTTCCTTTACCCTCTGCACTAGATTTTTTTTAAAGGGAGGGTATTGTATTTTTTTTTTTTTTTTTAGATTTTTAAACTTTATTTGAGAGACAGTTACAAATAGAGAGAGGGAGAGATAGAGGATCTTTCATCCACTGATTCACTCCCCAAATAGCCACAAAGGCCAGAGCTGGGCCAATCCGAAGCCAAGAGCTTCTTCCGGGTCTTCCAAGCACTTGAGCCATCTTCTACTGCTTTCCCAGGCCATAGCAGAGCTGGATCAGAAGAGGAGCAGCCGGGACATGAACCAGTGTCCATATGGGATGCCAGTGCTGTAGGCAGAGGCTTAGCCCACTACACTAGATTTTAAAAAGCTATTTATGCTGGGCCAGCGCTGTGGCTCACTTGGTTAATCCTCTGCCTGCGGCTGGCATCCCATATGGGCATTGCCTTCTAGTCCCGGTTGTTCCTCTTCCAGTTCAGCTCTCTGCTGTGACCTGGGAGGATGACCCAAGTGCTTGTGTCCCTGCACCCGCATGGGAGACCAGGAAGAGGCACCTGGCTCCTGGCTTCAGATCAGCGCAATGCCATTGTGAGCCAACGGAGGGAAGACCTTTCTCTCTGTCTCTCTCTCTCAGTGTCTGTAACTCTACCTGTCAAATGGATAAATATAAATCTAAAAAAAAATCTATTTATGCTGCTATGGCATACTTAATTCCTTGTTTTTCCTAAAAATTATTTTTTTATTGTTTTAAAAATCTTCATCCATGAAACACAACTTGTATTTTAAGTTTAAAAAAAGATTTTAAATTTTATTTGAGAGTCATTCCCCAGATGCTTACAACAGCTGGGGTGGGGACGGGGCCAAAGCTGGGAGCATGGAACTCAATCCACATCTCCCACATGAATGGCAAGAACCCAATTACTTGAGCATTCATCATTGCCTCCCAAGGTCTGCATTAGCAGGAAACTGAACTCAGGAGCTGGAGCTGGGCACTGAACCAAGTACTCCGATAATAGTATGAGGGCATTAACCAATAAGCTCAACACTCACCCTGTATACAATTTAAAAGTGACTTAGAAGGCAAGTGTTTGATCCAGCAGTTAAGACTTAGGTTAAAATGCATGCGTTCAATATCAGAATGCCTTGTGGGGTTCAAGTCCCAGCTCCTTCTCCAGATTGCAGCTTCTGGATAAATGCAGACTCGGGGACACTGCAGATGATGGCTTAAGTTAGTAGTTTGGTCCTTGACATCCATGTGGGAGACCTGGATTGAGTTCCCAGTTGCTGACTTCAGTCTGGCCCAACTCTGGCCATTGTGACTATTTGGGGAGTGAACTAGTTGATGGAAGCTCTGTCTTCTCTCAAACAAAAAAAGAAAAAATTTAGTTCACTGTTTCTGACTGTGCAAAGCATTCCATAAACTGTCTATCCATTCTCCCAGCAAATGCAGACTCAGAATATCTTCAACTACTAGTCACCAAAACAATGTTACAATGCTTATCTCCTTGTAAGTCCTCTTATGAACCTTTGTGAAAATTAATCTCTGGTTATATAATCAGGAACAGAATATAGGCCAAAGTGAATTTTTAAACATTTAATTATTTATTTGAAAGTCAGAGTTACATAGAGAAGGAGAGGGAGAGGGAAAGAGAGAGAGAGAGAGAGAGAAAGGTTTTCCATCTGCTGGTTCATTCCCCAGTTGGCTGCAATGGCCGGAGCTGTCCTGATCTGAAGCCAGAAGCCAAGAGCTTCCTCCAGGTCTCTCACATGGGTGCAGGGGCCCAAGGACTTGGGCCATCTTCCACTGCTTTCCCAGGCCATAGCAGAGAGCTGGACTGGAAGCAGAGCAGCTGGGACTTGAACCGGTGCCCATATGGGATGTCAGCACCATAGGTGGCAGCTTTAACCACTACACCACAGCACCGGCTCCAGAAACACTAAAAGCATGTTTTAATTTAGATTTATCTATTTTTTTTTTTTTGATAGGCAGAGTGAACAGTGAGAGAGAGAGGCAGAGAGAAAGCTCTTCCTTTTACCGTTGGTTCACCCCCCAATGGCTGCTGCGGGTGCGCTGCGGCCGGTGCACCACCATGATCTGTAGCCAGGAGCCAGGTGCTTCTCCTGGTCTCCAATGTGGGTGCAGGGCCCAAGCACTTGGGCCATCCTCCTCTGCACTCCCAGGCCACAGCAGAGAGCTGGACTGGAAGAGGGGCAACCGGGACAGAATCCGGCACCCTGACCGGGACTAGAACCCGGTGTGCCAGCGCCGCAGGCGGAGGATTAGCCTATTGAGCCGCAGCGCCGGCCTAGATTTATCTTAATGAATTTGACCATTCTTTCATGTGTCTATGTTTCTTCTTTTATAAATTCCCTGTTTCCTTTGCCTTAAAAAATTATTTATTTATTTATTTGAAAGGCAGAGAGACAAAGAGAGGGTGAGACAAAGACCTTCCATCCACTGGTTCATCCTCCTGATGGCTGCAACAGCTAGGGCAGGGTGAAGCTCCAGTCTTCATGTTATACTGAAGGTGTTTCTTTTGTATTCTAATTATAAATGAGTTATTAATAGGTTTAGTTATTACAAATAACTGCTACTAAAATGTTATCTGCCTGTTCAAAATGTC